GTACTGAGAAATTTCTACTTTTGACCCACAAAAAGTACAGACTAGATACAATTCGCCATCTGCAGGAAAACCTGACTCGAAGTTGACGGTCGAAGCATTTTTCTATCAGATAAAAAAGTGTCTTCGAACACAACAGTAACAACAAAATACAAAAACAAATATCATTTTAAAATCAGCAATGACAGCAATACGTCATTTATCGTTTYGCTCTCTGCAGGATCTAAACTCGTTTTCTCGCGTCTGGCGTACACGACACGCGTCTGCAATTAAAAATGAAAAAAAAACACGGGTCTCGTGAGATTTGAGATCGACCTCGCACACAATACGTATATGGTCGTAGTATTACATACGTGTGTGTAAGAATGGCATGTGCAAAACTATATTCGTAACGCGATTCATTGGATTTGACAAAACCACAGCGGTGCGGCGTTTAGTTTGACCGTATAGGGTTATTTCATGGATAAATGTTGCTAATATTAGAGCGGTCGGTCTCGAACCGTTATCGGACATCACCGAGGGGACGCGTAAAAAATAAAAATACTGACGATCGTTTTCGGAAGCAGTCGACGATATATTTGCGCGCGTTTTAATATAATATAATAAGCCCGYTGGTATATTTTAAAGGTCCGATCGCTAATTTTTGTTTCATAATCGTTATTATATAAAATCGTGACGATGACGATCAAAAAAATATACATCTCAAAAAAATCTATACTATCTTGCAGAGGTGGTATATTAAGTGAAATTTCCATATAACAAACTTTCATTTAACAAAAATCTTTGTCTAACGAAATATTTTTGGGCACTAAATCAAATTTTTGCAATTCTGTTTAACGAATTTTCCAAAAGACTTCGTAATGTTATGGAAGTTTCACTGTACTAAGATGTTGGTGGATTAACCGGAATTRAATGTGATCTGTAAACACTGTCAGCCTGATTTTTGTTAGCTTACATAATATATAAGTACCTATGCCTAAGAAATTGTTTTTATCTTAAAGGATCACACAACACAAAAAAAAAGTTTTTTTTATTTGAAAGAATGTTCAATTATAGAGATAATGATATAAGTTTTACGTTTCTACTCACATTATTCAATAAGTTATGAGCAATTGAAA